GGCTTTGGGACTTTGGCAAAGCCTGAGAGATATAAAGGGGGGCTCCGAGGCTTTGAATAGGCCAAAGATTGCAGTGCATCAAGGCTAGGGTAACTCCAGCTTTGCTGATGGTGGGACATCTGGGGAACTTGTTTGAAATGCTGTGGGCAAAAACAATTACTTACAGGTAAATATTTTAGTGTAACTGGCCAAATAGGGAACTTACAAAGAACAAAAAAGGCTGATGTATTGAGTGCAGTTGCCTTCAAGAAGGCTAGGGAGTGTCCAGTTCCCTTTCCTTGCTGTTGAGCTTTCCTTTGCACTTTTCCTGTTTTGTTTACCCAGGGATGAAGAAGTCCACCTTGACCTTGGTACTGCATGCACCAGAGGGGTTATTTCAGTGGTGGTCCCATTCTCCCACACATCCTCTCTGCTTGCTATACATAGCTTTCCTCCATCCATGAGAAGGGATTTAAAAACAAGAGGTCTGTAGTATGAACCTAAGAATAAGCATTTCAATTTAGATGTGTATCCGTTCTCACTGCAATATCTTTTGTGTAAGTCAAGCTACTTAAAACAGTTTCCATAAGATTTGATCTAGAAGAAAAGATTCCATGGGGACAAGGTGAGAAAGCTGTTAACTGTTGTCTGGCACTGAAAAGGTCATAAGTCAGTACCTCAGTAGCTGACCTGTCAGGGGAAGGTATAAAGGCTTTATTCATGCAGTTGCTGCAATGTTCTCAGCTCTCACAAAAGTGTTTTCATGATTCGATTTTCTTACTTCTTTGCTTAATTAAAAAGCTGAACCATTAGAATAGCACCTGCATCAAATCCTGACAGTGCATACATACTAAATCCAGAGCCTTTACAGCCAGTAATTATAACATAAAATCAGAGATTGAATAAAACAGAAGGATTTTGCTCCCAAAGCCCTGCTAATCCCCTTTTAAAAGGGTCTGGTAAAATAATTCAGAACAGTTTCCGGAAGTTGGATTACCATTCCTTTTATATTTTTTTGTACTTTTTACAATAAAATGATATTTCACACTTAAAGGAGGCTGTTTTCTAAAACAGCTTTCTTTCTTTCTTTCTTTCTTTTTTTAAAGAAAGTTGGCAGGTTTTTGGACAATAGAACCCATTTCAACACATATTTCTTGATCGCTCAGTGCAGTGGTAGAAAAATTTAGGAAAATGTTTATGGTCCATTTGAAACATTTACTCTTTCTAGGCTGAAGGTTGTTGCAAATTTGAATCAGAATTTCTTAATGTGCTTCAGGCTACCTTCAGTTCTCTAAGAGGAAACAATCAAACTTCCTAAGGGCAGACTTATTTCTCCTTGTTTAGGAATATTCATATTTCAGACCAAATACTACTGTGCTGGAACAATGTTTCTAAACTCTCAACCAATACAGCTGAACGTTGATTAACCTGAGATGTTGCAATGCTACAAGCAAAGTACTCTGAGCTACCTGCAGGATCTTTTTAGTTTTGGCAAAGAACATTCTCCTCCTCTGACTAATATGATACTCAGTAGGCCAGCAAGTCTGTCACAGAGAAGAGAAAGCTGGATCATCATTCTGAGACTATGTAAGTCACCTGATGATGTTTGTGGAAGATTCCTTATGCTTTTTTTTTTTTTTGCTTTTATTCCACAGTTGCCTGGCATATCAATTTAATTACCCAGTTCTGATTTGTCTTCTCTGCAGACATTTCCAAGCCCGTCCATCCATTTTGAGGTTCAGACCCATGTACAGCCTTGCACACCTTGTTTTAAATCAATGGATCTCCTTACTCTATGTTTTGGTTCATGTAGAATCTACATTCACATTGAAATGGAAAAAATAAGTCACAAGTTTCAAAGTCCTTCTGTCCGATCATATTTACATCAAATCAATATGTATCCCAAAGTGTTCTTTCTTTTCTGTGAAGCTGCTTTGCATATTTGTAAAGGCTTTGGACCATTCAGAGATCAAGACCCCCTTAATTGTCTTATTTTTATTTTCTTTTTCCTACATGATTTTGGGGTTGGAGCTTAACAACTGTACTTGAAAGCTCCCATTCGTTTTCCTCATTAGAGATGTTTAAGTGAAAAAGTTACCTTACTGCCCCTACAGGGAGGTAATCACAAATGGAGAGTGTTAGCATTCAACACTCTGTCATTTATTGACATATTTTAATCTTTTCCAGAATGGGGATTTAGTAAAAGAAAATTGTGATTGCGAAAAAAAGATCCTAATGGCTTCTTAGAAACAGTGTCTTTTTTGTGAATTTTGTCCCCAAATGCACAGACATCAGTTTTCCAGCCCCTCACTGTGTCTTCCTGCTCCCTCCCCCACACACATACACACATACACACAAACACTCAGGATAGTTTTGTTTGGGTTTTTGAAGACTGGGACTTAAACTTTGCATGGAGCTACATTCTTTTCATTTTTTTTCTATTTTGAGACTGGATACGACTTGCTCAGGTGCTACTCCAACTGTGATACACCTGCCTCAGCATCCTAGAATGCTGGGGTTACAAGCATGTACCACCACATCTCGTTCTCACTAGAATTTTGAGAAGCCTCACATGAGACTCGCAGTACAACACAGAAACTTATGACAAAAATTAATCAATATCTAGACTGGCTGGCAATAGACTTTCCACAACCCGACTTTTAAGTCATAAAGATGCCATTAGGCTACGGATTTCTTCAATTTCATTCCACTATGAAGTAAGCTTAGTTCCTTCTCATTTTGCTTGGGCCTTTAAAAAATAAATTACATCTCTGCCTCAGTGTCTGACAGCCCCCAGCTTAGACAGTTTTAGAAAAGCATGAACTCACCCCAACTGCAGGACTCTCATCTATTCTCAGGGCTGCCTACGGGGGGCGCACGCTGCCCTGGAGCTTGGGACCCTTGAGGAAGCCCCAATTTTGGAGCAGGCCTGGGAGTACTGTATTCGGTACCATATATAATTGGTTCAGTGGAGAACTACTGATGGGTGGCACGGGTACCCGTAATAACGACTAGCACTTAAGTAACTTTTAAATGCTCTAAAGACGAACATTATCTTATTAACTTGCTAAAGGTAATACAGCATGAAAAAGTAAACTTGTGCAGGAGATTGGTTTACATTCCTTATTGCACACAACAGAACGGAATTAAAGGGTGACTAACGGTTATCTCTGGCCGGAGGGTTAATACATGCGGGCAGAGCAAACCGGCTCTTCCTACCCAAGTCATTCCCCCAAACCCACACCCGGTTCACCTAGTGCTCTGCTCTGGAGTTGCAAGAGAGGGGGCAGGAGGGGCTTGCCAGGAGTAATCTGAGGTGTCCCTAAACTGCCCGGGATAGGGTACCCCTCGGATGAGAGGTGGGTAAGGTCCCTGGAGAGTGAGTGAGGCTTGCCGTGGACTCTTGTGGATCCGTCAGTTCAGTCCTCTCTGTCTGGGGCTGCACCCTTCCCGTCCTGTCACCCCCTCCAAAGAGTGCGGGACTGAAGCCTGCGTTCCCCAGGGCGGGAGCTGTGGTGTCTCCCAGCACGGCTTCTTTGCAGTCTTCCTGCTCCCCTGATCGGTCCGCCAAAGACGGTTCTTCCTTCTGCAAGACCTCAGTGTGGGCTGGCAGAGGCGGTCACTCCTTCCTGTCCTCTCCGCCCTGTCCAGTGTTTGGGAAGGGTTCGGAGTGCCCTTGGCAATGCAGCGCTTCCTGGGCGGGAAGAGAAGGTGCAAGGGAAGGTTTGAGGGGTGCAAGACCGGCCGGCGCTACTCTGCAGAGCCCGAGCTGGGAGTGGTGGCTTCCTCCCCAAACGCCCCCAGCCCACAGGGTGGGAAAAGGTTGCAATTAGTGTTTTCCCGCGCGGAGGCAACATCACAGTGGCCCAGGCTACAGACCCCCTTCTAACTTGTGCCGAGCCAGACAGGAGGGAGCAGGAGAGAGTAATTTTAGTACCAAAGTCCGCAGACCTCCCTCCGGCTTCCCTCCAATTCCTCGTGCCTTGATTTTATGGGGTATTTTTCACCTTTTCGGTCCAGGGTCCTTTGCCCCCACAAGTCTCCCCAGGACCCAGGCCTTAACCCCTCACTGGTTCTCCAAGGGGTCCGCCAGTGGGATCTATCCCTCCCATGGTCCTCCCACTCCGTCCAGTCCCCTCCCGAGCCAGGACCTTCGGAACCAGCTTCTCAAAAACTGTAAAGCTTATAGCTCTGAAATGTGTGGGGAAAGAAGCTCTGGGGCCCAGAGGCTCCATGACTACTGTAGAGGGAGAATGGCTCTACTGGGTCAGGGGATTCTGTTACATTTGAAATAAGCTTCCCACTGAAGACAAGATGAAGGGGGCATATGCATCAGATGCTAAAACCAACCAAAGATCCCACCTGCAACACAGGCTACTCTGGCCTTTGTCTTAAGGGTCCAGCCTTTGAGGAGGCCTAAAGGAACCTTCAGGCTTTAGTCTTGTACCCAGAAAGAAAAGCTAGTCTTGGGGCTGGGGGTTTAGCTCAGCGGCATAAGCACCTGCCTTGCAAGCAGGCAGTCGTGAGTTCGATCCCTGGTACCGATAAAAACAAAAAAGACAAAAAAAAAAAAAAAAAAAAAAAAGCTAGTCTGAGAGTACTCTGAGGCACTGCATCAGAGGTCAGGGAGGCTTAGGAGCCACTAGACCCTTTTCTCTTTCCTTCTTTTGACTCCTGTCACCTACTAAGCTCTTCTCTGGGAATTCAGAGTTGTTTTGAGAGATGAGGCAGCAGTGCCCAGACTTGGGGAAAGGCAGCCTGTCTCTAGCAGATGTGAGAGAACTTTACCTTTTCCCCTTCTGTAACACTGGTTGATTGGTTCATGACACCTGTGTCATTTGGGTGAAGAGACTGTTCTCTCCCACTGGAGTCACATTGGTGGGACCCTTTATTTTGCTGTCTCCAAGGGCTAAATTCCAAAGATGTTTTCCTCAAACAGTGAGGACAAGGGAAAGGATTGGAGGATGAGCAAGGGCCTCATATCTCTCTCAGTATGATGAAGCAATAACAGTACACACAAATTCAAAAGAGAAAGCAAACACATCATTTATTTCCAAATAAAATAGAAAAATGCAGCTCCATTGTACACAAAGTCCTTTGGAGGAAAAGAGTCACAGGTTTTTATTTCATTTACATTTACATATTCCAAGAAGATTAAGCCTAGACTGTCACCTTTTTCATTCAACAATCACTTTCAGTCAAATACAAAACAACTTTTTCCTTTCAAGTTAGTTCATAATTTAACAGTTACAAAGGGAGGACAGATGATAAATCACAAACAGCATGGCTAGAGAAGGTACCAAATAGTCTAAGGTTTTTACTCATTCTTTTGCATGTGTGTGTGTGTGTGAATTATGATTACAAAATGTTTGCCTGTCTCTATAATTCACATTCATTGCAAACTACATTTTCTCATAAATTAGCAGTATAAACCAACATATGGAGACCTCCAGTAAACAAATAAAATCAATATAAGAGACAACATTTTGCAGCAACTATAATAACAGCATGGGTTACAGCTTGGGGAAACTTCTTTACAAATCATTTAGTCAGCACACAGAGTGGGGTGTTTATTTAAACCACCTTTAAATATACAAGAGGTTAGGGAAATTTGCAGAGGGTGAAAGTTTCTTTTGGGACACAATATAAAATGTAGAATCGCACAGGTTGATGAAGGGACAGTGGACATTTGCATGCACTTTTTGGTCACTATCTTGTAGAACAAACCTTCTCAACTCCAATTGTCATGATTGTGGAAAAAACAAAAAATTATTTAAATGTCTTTCTTCCTCATGCCACTGCCTTTTGGTTCATGGCAGAAAGGGTTTGCTAACTGCAGCTAGTGGGAAGAAACACAATGGACCTATTTTTAGCAGAGATGCCTTTGAAAGAACAGGAAATAATAACAATTGTTTGGTTAAAACCTTAGCTTCCCAGAATCTCAGACAGGAATATTCAGAGCCTGACATGTCTCCAAAGGAAGCTCATTCAGGTGAACCAACCTGGGCTGAGGGAGTGCAGATCAGAGCAGGAAGCACAGGCACACAAGTGTGAATTTAGGGTACCAACCCTCTGCCTGCACCGTCTCTGCATTCTTTTCCCCACCTACCACAACTGGTGTAAAAAGCACCCCCCCCCATACACACACATCTGCACACTTCACCAGATCCTGACCCTGAGGGTTAGGCAGTGCTTTTGTTTTTCCCTTAGCAAGACTTATTCCTAAAGTTGTCTGTTGGTGGAGTGTGTAGATATTTTCTAAAAAGAAGTTTGATTTTATCTCTTTAGAAACGGTTTGAAACTAACGGGGTAGAGGGAGTTTGACAGAGAGGAGAACAAATCGCTGACAAAGAACCTTTTACGTTTCATCAGCGTTGTTAGGACAACAAGAAGGAATGTCTCAGATAATAACTCCCACTTCAAAGATTTCTCAGCTCAATAGAAAGCGGACCATCCTTTTTATTCAACCACAAGGACTGGCACTAAAGAAGACTCCACTGTTTGATTTTTTTTCACTGTGTTTATTTTTCCCCTATTCACTGGGGTACTTGGATAAAATAAACAACAAGACAATTAAGAGAACATGGACTTCTAACTTTCCTGCCATCTTCCCCATCCCCTTGGCCTTGGGCTTTTGAGTTTAAGCCCAGGACCAACCAAGGCCTAAGGATATGACACCTCAGTCCCAGGAGAAAAGTGGTTTAGGGGGCTGTAAGGGCTGGAGGAGCAGAAGGATAGAGCTGAATGCCAGCATAGAAACGTCCCTAGGGCATTCTCTAAATTCCCTTCAACTTGCTCAGGATGGCCCTCCTTCCCACAATTCCCCATCAAATTCAAACCCACGTCCTTCTCAAGATTCCTGAGGGGCATTTTGAACAAAACTGAGCTAGGGAAGTGAATTTGTTAAGTTTCTGATGCTGCCCTAAAGTCCTTTACTCCTGACCCTGGAGCCTCTTTTGGGAGCAGTCAAGATGCGTGGAGTCCCGCTCCTCTTTTTCCTGAAAGCGTCCCAGGTGACAAAGCCCCCTACATCAGGGTGCTGGGTGAACCCCTAAACGCAGGCGAGGCAGGTCCTAGAGAGGAAGTATATACTGAAGAGCACAGTGACAGTATTAAATGGCGTGAAAGCAAAGGTCAGCGCAAATGTATCTTAATAGAGTGTCTGCAGTGAAGTGTGCCGCCTTTGAAGGGGCCGCTCCCCGCGCGCATTTCCATGGCGAGCCTAACGCGGCATGCTGATGCACCGTCAAACTCACACTTTCAACCCCAAAACCCGACTCTTTGAACAACCCGAGCTTGATTAGACCTTTCTCCTTTTCTTTCCCCTCTTACAAACCATTTCCTCGCCTTTAGAAACTCGCCATCAAAACCAAATGCGCCCTCTGATCACCGCAGAAAGCAGAAACAAAGAGGGCTGTGCAGCGATTCAAGCGGCCCTTTTCTTCCTTCACATTATTATCCATTTTTATTATGATCGGGAACAAGTGCCCATTCGCGTGGGTTTTGTTTACCGGAAATTAAATGAAAATGATTTAGTCCGCGTCAAACAAAAATATATACTTGTATACACAAGAAAAAAGGCCTGTTAGACGTAAATATTATGTCCTTAATGAAAAGCCTGGACGGGCTCCAGGCTCGGCCTTTCAGGATTTCAGTGCGACTTGCCCATTGCCATAGAAATCCTAACTTACCATGAAGATGCACCGTGGCGAAGAAACACTGCTTTGTGTGCGGGCCCTTTGATGTTGGAGGCACAAGATGCGGTTGCTCAGCTGCGCAGGGCGAGATTACCTTGCGAACGACGCGGTGGACATCTGTAACAAGCAAATGAAAAATTAAAGGCGATTAGTGATCGACTCCACATTTTTTATTTCATTTCATTATTTGGGGCTGGGGTGAAAAAAATGGGGTGCCTAGAAACAGAAGAGCGAGGAGACTTATTGGAAGACGGGACACTTTTCCCACATCTGCCGCATGCAAGTTCGGTAGATGCCCTCTGCACCTTGGCAGTGGGGCCAGGGTTTCCGCTCAGGGAAGGAGATTTTGCTCTGCACGCTGCCGGGTCGGCGGGCAGCCTGTGCGAGCTATTGTAGTGGGGTTGAAGAGGGGGTCGCTTTCTCCCTTTCTCAACCACAGATTCATCAAAGATGCAGATGAAAAAATCCCGTTTTTCTTAGTGGTAATGAAAAGAAACTATCCTTTCACTGAGTTCTTATTTTATATTCGTTGTTTTGTCTGATGAAAGTTGTGGGCGTGGGGGCAAGGAGTGATATTTGTCCCATGGAGTCTGAAGAGGGAAAAAGAAGACAATCCCGCAGGATGGCAGAGCCAGCCTTGTACAATTATTATTTGGTTGTGCAGTTGTTATTTGGTTTTGTGGTGTTGGTGGCTGAACGAAAAGCCTTAAGAATGCTGGGCAAGTGCTCTACCACTGAGCTACATCCCTGGCTTGGGGACTGGGCTTTTAAAATGGAGCTCCTTAGGGGTTTCTCCTAACAGAGAACATTAACCTTCCTAATTACACTTATTTCCAAATTCTTAGGGAATTGGGATGGGTCTATCAAAGGTTTCTGTTTTCTTTTTCCTCTTTTTGCAATTTTTACTCTTTAAACCTTAACTGGGTTTTTGGGGGGCAACTTCTTCCTCCCAGTGGAGGGTGGCAGGCTCAGAAAGAGATCTGGTTTTTTTGTTTTCTCTTTGACAATAATTGTGAAAGCCTTCTTCTTCCCCACCCCCAACATCTGGTTCTTTTGGCTGGTGATTTCATATTCAGCATATGAAATACACATTCCATGTAGCCCCACTGGTGTTTTGTCTTCACAATATTTATTACTGTATCTTATTTTTCTCATCCCCCTTCAAGATGCAACACATTAAATTTTTTAAGCAGTGGGGACTGAACTCAGAGATACATACATGATAGACAAGCATTCTAGCGCTGAGTTATTCCCTAGTCCTATTTATTTATTTAGGCAGTCTCACTAAGTTGTCAAGGTGACCTTGAACTTTTGATCTTCCTGCCTTGGCCTCTTGAGTAACTCAAATTATACTGTTTGGCTTTTGACAAACACTACCACATTCACCCAGAAGTTTTCCTATATCTGGCACTTTGGCTTTGCAGGCCTGGAGTCTATGATGTCATAAGGTAACTTCACACTTCCAGTCCAAGCGCCCGAAGGATTTCCCAGGCAGGGCCTGAGCAGGAGGGGGATAGGAAAGGGACTTCCAGATGCCTCACAGCACTGAATACTGAAGCTGCTCTAGTGCTCTTTTGTCTGTATTTCTTGTTGTTTTGGGCTCACTGTCTGACCTCATGTGTACTGTGTATATCCAGTCTGTGGACATACAGATAGATAGACGGATGTATCTGTATATTAGAGCCAATCTCGCTTGTGCAAATATGTGAACACTCTTTGATCTCCTTTATAGAACTGGTTGAAAAGTTTGGTACTTGATTGTTTTTTTAAAAGGGTAATTGATTATTTTTCCCTTTGAAATAAAATTTTTAAAAAAGGATAACTGAGGAAGGAGAAAATGTAGGGAGGCAAACAAGAAAAGAAATGAGGGGCAAAGACAATGACTGTGGACCTGTGGACTTCTCTGTCTGCTACCTTCCTGGATTTAAACTGCAGAGGCTGGGCTTGATTAAGAGGAGGGGGCAAAACAGGAAGGGTCTGACTGGGAGCCAATGAGGGAGCCACCCAGGCGCCCAGGAAAACATTTCCCAGTCTGTGAACCCCTCTAGGATTCCGTGGTTTTGTGCCACCTGCAGTTGCTGGAATTGCACAAACATTCTAATATGTATTTTGTTCAATCTGTCGATCTCTTTCTTTATCCATAACACGGATTTCAGGTTAGTCAGCCATGAGGGCCAGAGTAGTAGTCGAAACACGAGTGGTGATGGAGGGCGCGACTGTAGAATAACAAATAAATATTTAAAATATTGAACATGATCTCAGCGTTATCAATGATCTATAGCAAGTTTTAGAAGAGGCCTGCCTGCCTGCTTGCCTTCCTTACCCCTTCTGTCCTGCCTCTCTCCTTCTTTCCCTCCCAAACCCTCTCCTTTTTTGTCTCCCTTGCCCCATCCCTCTTCAAGCCTCAGTAACCTAGCTTAGACTCCCAGACAGTGCTTGCTGCAGAAGCAGTCCTAATACTGGAGGTGGTGGTGGCAGTGGCAGGGCCAGGAGGTGGCTCGGGACTGGGGGGCGCGGCCGGGGCAGCCACTGCGAGGGTCCGCTCCCTGACACACGTACCATTCGCTCAGGTCCGAGCCACGCACCGCCACCGCCCCTGAGGAGGCCACCCGGGGCTCGTGGCCGCAGTCCGATGAGGGCGACAAGAGGGCAGATGGTGTAGCAGAGTCGTAGCCGGAGCTGGGAGGCGGCGAGCGACCGTGCACCTTCATGTGCTTACGCAGAGAGCTGGGGTGCGTGTAGCACTTGTCGCAGCCGCGCACCTTGCACGTGTAAGGCTTGTCGCTCGTGTGCACGTGCGAATGCTTCTTGCGGTCGCTGCTGTTGGCGAAGCGCCGCTCACAGCCCTCGAATTCACACCTGAAGGGTTTCTCGCCTGGCAGAGGCAACGCAGAGACTTTAGTGCCCTTGGGCCGAGTCCCAGACTCACGAACCCTACAGCCCGCCCCAAATCTTTCATTTTCTGCAAAAGAACCGTAAAAGTATTTCAGAAATCCCTTTCCTGCATGCCTCGGGTCGGGAAGCCTCCTCCCCAGCTCCAAGCTCCTCAAGCCCCAAGCCCCTTGCCTACCCGCCTCTGCCCCTCCCCCTCTCCAGTCTGCCCCTTGGGGGAGGGTACGGGGGAGGAGCGACCATGACTCCATTTTAGTCCAGTTTCCATTCTCGAAAATCCCGATCCATTTGGGTTGTTTGCGCCACATTCTATCCATTCAGGGCAGAAGAACATCTGCCCTGCTCCATGTAAAGTCGCCTTTCCAGCCAAATGTCTCTGTCACTGCCACCCCCTTCTAGCCGTCCACTGCGCACACACCCCAACCTGGCCCAAACAGTTTTCTGAAGTAGCTTTTGTGCACACGCCAAGGCGATGAAATAATTTAAGAGGATAGGCAAACGGTGCTTCGTGCTCACAGTGTGGGTTCCTGCTGCAGGAGAAGGTATTCGAGACAATGATTCACCTCAAAAGCGATTTTTCCTTTCTACCACCACCCCCCCCCCGCCCCCGCGCACACACCCGGCAAACATTTAGCAGCGTTCTTCGAATCTTTCCTAAGCCACTCCGGATATCTCCAATATGCTCGCCAGCAATAATATTTTATTATGCTGCTCCAGCGGCGCCCCCAGAGACCCTATCGCGTGTAGCTGGTTCCTCAGTCCAAACTAAACTGCCAGGTCTATCAGCCTCCCCAGATCACCCCCACAGGGCTGCCGGACTTCGCAAGCCTGAGCCAAGCGGCCAGCGCGGAAGGATCCGTCCAGGCCAAGGGAAATCTGAAGTCTTCCCGCAATCCCGCCCTCCACCGCCGCAGCTTCGGAATGTGCGCAGCGCTGCGGGCAGCAGAGGTCTGGCTCCGCCGAGCAGAGGGCAAGCGCTTGGCCTGGAAAGACCCGCTAGGATCTCGGAGCGGTGGCTGCGATTCCTGGTGGAGCCGAGGGAAGGCGCGAGCGCACGTTAGTGTGCACGTATTGGCCGGACCAAGCCCCATTTCGGGAGCTCCCTGCCCCCTGAATTTGCAGGCAAGTGAGGGAGGAAAAGACCCCAAGAACCCGGAAGCCCAAGTTCCGGCTGGAGCTGCAAAAGCTGCAGAAATGGGGGTGGGGCGGAGGTGTCCGGGAGAGTTGAACAAATGAATGTCGCCTGGCGCTGGGCGTTGACGGACCGGATACCTTGCGCCTAGCCGAAGAGCAAGAGATGCCTGGCTGAAGTACCGTTGGCTTTGTGGTTGCTTCTTCCGCTGCTTCCAGGAAAGGCAGAAGCTTTCTGGCAGGTTTGAATAAACAAAGCCTCTGTTCCCGAGCTCTGTGGACACTCTGACTGAGGCAGAGGTTTGCACACTATCTGCTCCTCCGCGTAGGCAGTGGCACGGGAACTCGGGGCTGTGGCACCGCCCAGTCGTAGAATTCACCCCCTTCGGGAGTACCGGTGTTTCACTAGGCCCTGTGGAAGGTGCTGGCCTCTGCCGTTTGATCGAGCACTAACATCGTTTTGTGAAAAAGTGGGAGAAAGACTCTGAATAAATCAGTGTCCCCATTTACCCCTGGTTTTCTTCCCTCTGATCTCTGCTGCCTGCATCTGCAAACCAAAACTTTCCTTCCTTCTTTTCTTCTCTTTTTGAAACCACTTACAAAAAGAAGGGGGAGAAAAACGCAATTCAGGGCCTAAAAACGTGAGCAAGATTTTTCTGAGAAAACAGAGGAGGGATAGAATTTGAGTCCGATTCCCCTTGGCGGGGTGGGGAGGGATGTATTTCTGCCACACGTGTGTTCTATGTAGTTGAGCGCCTCGTTGGACATTGATGTAAAACAAAATGATTTCGCTCCAGACGAGGAAGAGAAGAGCGCTGAGGTGTTTGGGACAGCCAGGACATTCGCAGGCCCTCGGGAGGCCGGGTGAGGCCGCGCCCGGAGCTGCAGGAGGCGCCCTGGTCTCCTTGCGCGAGGTCTCTGTCGCCCCCCGCCGACACCCTGCCCCCCGCCCGTCCCCTCCCCCCGTCTGGGCTCTGCACCCTGGGTGGGTGGATGAGTGTCGAGTGCCAAGCTTGGGCCAGGCCCCTGCAGCCTGCTCGGCGCGGCCTGCGCCCCAGACAGCGCCGGAGACGCCCCAGCCTTCTCCTGGGCTGCGCGGCGGGGAAGGCCTGCTCCCCGGCCTCGCCGGCCTCGCAGCGCAAAGTTGGCGAGCGGCGGTGCAGCCGGGCCAGCGCCATCTTCTCGCACTTGTGGCTGGCGCCGGGTGTCCTGGTGACTCCGCCCCGGCGCGATCCCGTCTCCGCCTGGATCCCGGCCCTGCCTCGGGAACGGCCGCCTGCAGCCGGGAGCCCCGAGCCGCCCGGGCCGCTGGTGGTGCAGAGCGCGGCGGCCGCCCGCGCTTCCCGCGCCGCGGTACCATTCATTGTTCCAGGATCGCTGTGACCGCCACGGTGTGAAACCTGGCGGCGAAAGCCAGGCCTGGGATTCCGATCCGCGAGAATCTCAACTCCTGAGAAATCTGCTCCTGTTCGCCTCTTCCGCGACTCGAGGAAATGAAACGCCATTAATATTTGAAAAGGCAATTATTTTCCTGTTGCATCGAGAACTGTCCTCATGAATAATTTGTAGTGAGGTCTATTGCCATTTGAGAAACATTTTCTCTGTCTGTCTGTCTCTCTCTTCTTTTTCGTTACTTAAGAGGGGGATTTGAGGGCGACGTTGGAGCAGGGGAGGCTCAGTAGACTTTTTTTTTTTTTTTTTTTTTTTTAACCCAAGCAGTAATGAATTAAGACTGGGCGAAGAGAACGCACAGAATTCTGTTGTGAATAGCTGTAAACCTGAGAGCCAGCCCCAGTGCACTGAACTTGCTTCTCCGCTGTAGGTCGATTGCGCTGAGAATTTAACCATTTTCTGCTTCATAGACTTCAAACAGTGGGCTAACAAAGAGCAGTAAAAGTTTGTTTGTTTTAAAAACCCTGTCATTAAAGATGAGTTTCTTGTTCAGCTCAGGACTGCGCGTCTACTTTCCAGGTGCCGAGAGCCAGCTCTTGGCGATGCAGGCCTGCGGGCATGCGGTTTTCGGGGATATTCTCCTCCTGCTGTCCCCCAGGGTAACCCCGAGACAGGCGCAGATGCGTGCGGGGGGTGGGGTGGGGTGGAGAAACAGCTCAAGAAAACCTCACGCTTCCAGAAATAAAGTGCGGGAGGGTGGAGGGGGCCGGGGGGGGGTTCAAAGTGGACTTTGGTCTTGCCAGTGCTTGCCAGTGTTGGTTCTAGCCCTGGACTTACAGGTCCAGTGAACAGAGAAAGCTTCTATTTCCAGCACTGCCAGCCTAGAGCAGTTCTTTGACTCTAATCATGGTTCCCGTTCCAGGAAGCACAGAGATGAACAAGGCAAGGTGAAAGGTAGTGGGAGTCAGTATCAAGCTAGAACTTCCTTTTTCTTCTCTCCACTAGTTCCCTTCTCCTGCCCCCAGTGGGGGCAGGGAGGTGATGACTGACTTCTTAAACTTCGAGGAATTGGGAGGAGTAAGGAGAGTACAGACAATGCCTGCTAAACTAATTAATGTAACTTCACAGGCTGGTCTGGCACTGTGAAAACTTTCTTCCTTCAGTTGTATTAATTAGAGATGCTTCTGACCAGAAGAGTTCAACTTGGAGGGCTCTTGTGTTGTGCCGGGCTCTTTTTTTCCCCTGTTAACTGGAACTAACAGATGTGGTTGACACATGTCCCTATTTCGCTTAACAGCTCAGTAAATGACATTTAAGGTGGATGGTTCCCATTGGGTCTCTGCTAAAGTAAGAGTGAAGGTTAACAAAACGTGCCTACTGTTAGCCAGCAAGACTAAGGGAACAGGGTAAAAGTTAGCCCATGAAATCCTCCAATTTTGAAGAAAGAACTAAGGGTTTGATGACTTCCTCCCCCATCCCTCCAGTCTAGGTGCTGATCAGTTTGTCAGGCTGATGGGGAGAATTCTGTTGCAGGATTCCAAAGGGAAGGAGAAAACTTAGGACATTGTTCCCGTGTTTTTTAGACTTTGAGTAACAGTGCTGCTTTGTTAAATGCCTTAAAATCAAATGCCGGGTCTGGGACAGTCGCTCAGAGGTAGTGCTGGCCCAGAATGCTTTGAGACCCTGGGTTCTATACCCAATACCTGTAGCAGAAGAAGGGAGGACTCCATAAGCAAGGGGCAACGTTTACCCTCATCCCCCAGCTCAGAAATCTTGTAGTATGCTCCCTGCACTCAGCTTCCCGAAACTCCTATGATGCTAAGAATAGAAGCTCATTATTAATATTTTATGAATTTGGATCATGGAAACAACATTAAAAACACCTCCCTCCTCCCCTCATTTGGAAATTGAGGAAATCCAGGCTTGAGGGCCTGCTTCCCCTAAGGGTCCGCACGAGACAGCGCCGGATACTGACCTGTGTGAGTTCGTTTGTGTATTTTGAGATTTTCTGATCTAGCAAAGACCTTCCCACACCCCGGGAAAGGACAGGGGAAGGGCTTCTCGCCCGTGTGCACGCGGATGTGATTTACAAGTTTGTATTTGGCCTTGAAGGGCTTGCCCTGTCTCGGACACTCCTCCCAGAAGCAAATGTGGTTGGCTTGCTCCGGGCCGCCGACGTGCTCCACGGTGACATGCGTGACCAGCTCGTGCATGGTGCTGAAAGTTTTGGAGCAGAGGCGCGGGGACACAGGGCCTTCGGCCGCCAGCCACTTACAGATGAGCTCTTGCTTGATGGGCTGGCGCATGTAGCGGAAGAAGGCGCCAGGGCCGTGGGGCGCGGCGAGGTTCACGGTCAGGTTCATGCCTCCGTAGCCGTGCAGGGCGGCAGCAGCTCCCAGGGCATCGCTGTGAGCTGTGGACCCTGGCGCGAAGGGCTCGGGCCGCGCGTACATGTCTCCGGGGAGCCCCAGACGCAGCAGTCCGTTCAGGGGACGGCTGTGCGAGGCCTGATGAGGCTGCTCATGAAGGCCTGGGTACACCGAGGGGCTGGAAGCGGTGGCGAGCTGGGGGCCATGGTGTCCGGAGATGCTACCTGTTGTCGAGACAAATAGCGCGCGTGAGAAAGGTGTCATGGGCTGTGGCGCTCTCCCGGCCCCGGGGGGCAGGCCCAGCCCAGCTGCACCACGGCTTCTGCCGTCAGCGTCAGCGTTGGGATCAAGAGGCAGTTGGTGCCAGTGGTGAACGCTGGGGACAGAGTAAGGCCTAACGCCTGCTCCACGTTCCGACTGGGCTGCAGTTCTGCAGAGTTCCCTGTCACTCCATGAAGGGAGAGATGGTGGCAGCGAGATAAGTAGAAGGGGCAGTAGAGTAAAGAACAGCAGGGCTGAGTTTGAGGGTTTTTGAGGACCTCAGCCACTGCTCCAGAGAGTTTCCACCTGCACTCAAGTGCACTTTGGTGCCCAACAGTCCTGGGCGTGACATTCTGCCCAGGCGTGGAGGTGACAAAAGTGGTGATGTTGAAGGTGGTTAGGTAGGAGTTGGTGGTTGTTTGGAAGCACCTCAACCGTGCATATTAAGTTCAATGCCCGCGCAAAGGCAGAGGCCTGCCACATCGGCCAGGAGCCCCCAGTGCTGGCTGCTTACTCCACGGTCACCTAATGGTGGGGAGAAAGGACAGCCACAGAAAACTTGCGCAAAGCGTTGGGTTATTCCTCCCCCTCATCCCAGTTTTGGGCTTTGGCTTTCCTCTCCTCCCTTTCTGTGTTTTTAATGCCCACTCAAAATCCCGTACACTACAGAGATGGCAGCAGGGCGCTTGAGGAAATGAATAGAAATTCGGGCTGTGGGCTGTGGCGGGGGCCACCGCGAGGAACAATCGCCTAGGTTGCCCATTGGCCCACCGCCCAGCCCAACGTCAGCAGTGACAGGTCCTTGCTCTCTCTCTCTCTCTCTCTCTCTCTCTCTCTCTCTCTTCCCTTCCTTCATCCTCCACCCCCACCCCAGTAGCATTTCAAGCTTCTACTGCTCATGCGCTCTGACCCAGACATAGATTCTTTTCTCTCCTTTTTAACCCCCTCCCCTCCTCTCCTGAAAATTGGTTGGATCATTGTGGCCTCCGGGCCCCTGGAAGTGAGGGGGACTGGGTTTATGCCTTCATGCCTCACAACTTTAGGAGAGGTGCTGGACTGCGTGTAATGTCCTCAGGGCAGATGAGGGTACTAGGCTGGTCCAAGGGGGTGGGGAGCACGGGCAGGGGGAGCACGGGTATGTGGGTCTGCTTGGGCAGTTTGTTCTGAAAGCCGGGATGAGGAAAGGATTGAGATCTACAGCAAGCAGGAGGCTGCAGACAAGGTTGTCAGGAGCAAATATTTTCCTAGGACAGCAGTCCCTGAGCCCAACTTTATTTTTTTATTTTCTCTAAACTTTTCTTGTTTGTTTCCCCATCTAACTGATGCTCTTATTCTCTCTCTCCCTCTCTCTCTCTCTCTTTCCCTGAGCCCTCTACCATCTTTTGCCTTCCTTCTTGTTTTTTCTCCTCTCTTTACCCCTCCTTTCTTTCTGTTCTTTTCCCATTTAGTCTTGCCAGACTCTCCTCCCTTGGGAAAAAGCCCCTCAGAGTCACTGACATCCAAGAATCCCCACACTGAGGCTCAGACAGTGATGACCTGGCAGAGACTGGTCCCTGAACTCACTTCAGGCCTTTCTGAGAGGGCCCTTTGAAACAGGCCACCTTGACACATGGGGTTCCACTAAGAAGAATTCCTCCTCCACTGAGGGCTACCTGCACCCTCCTCAGGTCCTGAGCTCTGCACCCAGATGACACTTCTGAGGAAGAAACTGGGGACTCTCTTAATCTGCCAGCTCTGGCCACTTGTTGCCTGCAGGACAGGCCTATACTTGCTCACCTTGGGATAATGTAAACAGTGCCATGCTTCCCAGGCTCTGTTAGAGAGGCCTCTTCACCCTCTAAGAACCTGGACCTGAGAAACACCACAACAGTCAGCCGAAGAAAACTTCAGTTCTGGCCCAGTGGAGTGTGGGGTAAACATGAGGGAGTGTCCTTTGTCTGCACTGACCAGTTAGGGTCAGCTGCTTGTCTGTCTGGCGATTTAAAGGACTGCTGGCCCCGACCCCTGCATGCTCACTGCAGCCAAAAATGCCAGCTGAAGTTCTCAGACCTCCCTGGTGGCCATAAAAAACATCCCCAAAGGACAGAAAGGCTTGAGCTTTTAAAAGAAATGTAAAAGATTGAATGAAAGATTCCATTGCTCATTAGCAGAGGTGAGAAGTTTGGGCAGATTACATGGAACCCTAACTCTCAATTGATAATATTGCTCTACCCATCCTCTGCACTGACAACTATTATTACACAGTTCCTGGTCAGCAAACAATGGCTCCTTTTATTTAAAAAAAAAAAACTACTTATTTATAAAGGTTGAAAGATTCTTTGAGACTTCCTTTCTTTGTTATATTATTCCCCCTCAGGGCTGAACTGCAACAAGGAATTAACTTCCACAATTTGTCTCCTCTTCCACTACTTTGGGTCTTTTTGTTTCTCCAGCAACTCTACTGATGGAGTTTGTGTCAGCATTTTTTTTTTTAAATGATGAGAACATCTGAGATGAGGAGAACAACCTACCAGCCTTTTACTCTCTGAATGAAAGCCTTCCACTCAACCATTTTGAAAACAGACTCAGAAAATTTGTTTTCTTTCCTGAGTTTTACTCTTTCCCATACTCTCACCTTATGTCTTCACCTACAGATCTCTCTCCCTCTCTATTCCCTTATTTAAAAGACTATCTAGAGGTGAACCAATGAAGTAGTAAAAAAATAAGAGAAAGAAAATAGAAATGTCTTCTTCTTTGGGGCCTTTTACCCAGCTGTTTCTACTATTCATACCTTAAGACCAAGGCAAGTATCTGTGGTTTTCAAGCCTAAGGTTAGGGACACTTCTGCAGTAATCTAGTAATTAGAATGTTTTCTCTCTGCTACTTAAATGACCTACAGCTAACTGCTCAAGATATTTGTCAAGCTTACCATCCACTTTAGCTTTGAATAAGGCTCTCATTTATGTGCTGAGAATACAGCTCAGTGACAGAGTACTAGCTACATATATCCAAGTCCCTGGGTTCATGAATACTGCCAAAAAAAATGGGTAATTTGTACCAATACTATTATGGCCTCAGAAGCTTTTGAGTGAGGGTATTCTAAAGGGATCTCTTTGGAAATTTATTGAGCCTGGTTAGTACCTAATAGTCCCATGTTTGCTGCCCATATTCATAACAAAAGAACATGTTCATCTTCCATTAGCAGGTTGTAAAAGGATATCCCCCCCCAAGTTCATGAACTTCCTCAATTTAAAGCAGTAACCCTCTGATCTCCAAAGACAAACAGAAGTTCTGCAGACATACATTGCTGACCTACTGCACACTCTTCCTTACTAACTCTGCCCTTGAAAAGTTCTGAACATTGCCTATGACTTTTTGTGCCAGCAGTAAAAAGGGCAGACACATCTGATTCAGCCAAAATCACTGACAGTAGCCTGGCCCCATGGAGCTCCTTCCCAGATGTAGCCTTGTCTTGAACCACCAAAAACATCTGGACTCATTCTGGGTAGATGCTTCTTGAGTAGCCAGGGGTCAGTCGACCTGCAGGTCATTGAGGTTGCCTGACTCTTGCAAGTTCTTTGGAGCCATATGGTCCATACCTCGGTTGGCTAAACACAGCAATGGGACCAGACATTCTCTTACAAGGCCATTTCCCCAGAGACAGTAATGGGAGGGAACCTCTTTTGTACCCATTAATATTTACAGACAAGGAATGTTGAGCAGTTGCATGGGGTTCTTCAAGGCACATCTCTAAAATAATTTAGCGTATTATCTAACTAATGGCAGGTGAGAGATTGTGGGGCATATCTTAATTTTTAGAAGGATCACTTTGAGATTTTATAAAGCAAAGTCTTGGATTTCAAGGTTCAGTCAATCAGGCAACAGAGTGTTATCCCTTCATTAGTCCTTAGAATTTTTTCTTTCAGAAACTTAACGTCACTGCACTTGCCTGCAACACCAAATGCTTAACTGGAGAATTCCCTTCTTAACCTTGGCTAGTATTATAGTATCGTTAGGTCAACTTTCCTCTGGATTTTCCAAAAAAGAAACACTCTGCAGCCTGGAAATCTTTAGCAGATGTAACAAGGAAGCACTGAAGGCTTTAGCAGGATAGAGTCCACGAGCACACCTCAAACATCCTCAATCTCCAGACTGCTGTGAACCAGTGCTCAGAATCATGCCCTAGGCACTTTTTCTCAGTACAACAAGACCAATGCAATGGCATAAACAAGTGATTTTCTAGTCCTACTTTCTAGAAATAGGGCACTTGGTGGCTCTACCATCTGCCAGAGCTCCTCGCATTACAGTACTGGCTCAAATGCTTGACCTCTCTCCCTTGGAAAGAAAAACGGGAGGAAACTGTAAATCAGTAGCTGATCTTTTCCCCCATTTTGATCTTTTAAGCAATGTTAAATGATGGTTATCTGTTGCATATTGTACCTTGAGTATGGCTTCAGGAATTGAGTCAGGTCAATACACAGCCTGACCAAGCAGAGTCTCTGTTACCTGAATGTCCTTCTTCTAGGTCTGTAGTACTTATTCAGTTCTTTATCCCTTGTTCTTGGCCATGCTGGTACCCATAATGAGGAGCATATTTTTTAGGCTAGTCATAAACAGACTTCAGCATTCTGGAAGTGGGAAGAGTCTCTTACGAAAAAAGTCACTTAAATCCCAGAAGCCCGCCCATTTTGTTCAAGCCTAAATTGTGCAAAGGAAAGGAGATCTATGAGGATTTTAGACAGAAAGTAAGAAATTCTTCTTTAGTATGGAAATGTGAGCTTTCATTATATTTTTTAAAACTGAGTATGAAAGAAAATAGAGATTTTTTGGATGGAGACTAATTTCCAAGCAAGGTTTCTGCAGAATGTCTTTTGATAAAAGATTAGGAAATGTTGTTAAAAGATCTTCCAAAACAGCATTAAAGAATCAAAATAACTGAAGTTATATAATAACCACATCTCTGTTACTACTTCTTCATTAAATTATCCCAAATAATAGAAAAGATTTCCTGACCTGTTCCCTTAACTTTGTTAGAAGGTTGCTCTGCCTACCAACAAGGGAATATCCTTGGAGGCAACAATTAGCTAGTGGTGTGTGTGGTTGAAACGAGGGAAACTAGAAGCCTGGAAGGGAAGACACCCAACCCTAAATCATATGCTTATTTTAAATGGAATATTAAATTAAATTCTTCACAATGAAGGTATTCCTGACAGAGTGGCTGTCAGTCACTCCCTGTTCAGACACCACATTGTGGGAACGTAGTCACTGCCACATTGCAGAAGGCTGGTGTCCCTGGTAAAGATGATGCATATCATGTAAACCCCATCACCAAGATCAAAGTCTGCTTCTTTCATGGAAGCCAATACATGTCAAACCTCATTCCAATCAAATCATCCGGAAATGAATTCAAGATGAATATGTCATAGAATAATGTGACAGTGGCATTGCAGAAGGTCAGGGGTGATTGTTTCAATGAGAGAGTCGTCAAATATTAATTCTAGAACGTCCAGATGAGTAGGCATTGAACGAGATTAGCCGGCTGCTGGTGGGATGTTGGGCCATTGATTTGTGTGCAAATATATCGAACACCGAGATGTTGTTCTAAGTTTCATTTGCAGTCAAGAAATACACCCAGCACAAAACTAAGGGTAACTAAAAGACAAAACAAAGCTTTTTACTACATAAGGAAAAAAAAAAAAAAAAAAAAAAAAAAAACACCCTCCCATACCTTCAACAAACAATATTATTAAAAGGATTTTAACTTACTGGACTCTTTCAGTGTGTTTCGGTAAAGCCGTAATCGTTTCCTCATCACCAATGAGGTCTTGTATCTCATTTTCTGATTTTGAGCCTGTTAGGAAAGAAAAAAAGAAACACTCATTAAACATTTCTTAAGTGTTTCTGTGCTAAGATTCTGTGGCCTGAACATAGGAATGAAAGAAGGTGTTGGTCTACAAAATGTCTTTCAGTCTTTTTTTTTTTTTTAAACCATTTTCAAATTTATGAGCTAAAGAAAAAGACTGCTGGAACTGCTCATCTCATGTTGACTGCAAAATAATACTTCCTTAATAACAAAAAATATAGAAAAACTATAATTATTTGGGCAGACTTTTACCTGAAATTCATGTGTTGTTCTGTGTTGCATGTAGATGCAAATATTCTTTTGGTCAGTGTTCAAAAATCTATGATTTCTAGAATTTGAAATTGTATGAGAAGACCCCATCATTTATTCAGTTGTATTATTTAAGCTTTGTGAGGTATGGTGAAGAAGGCCCCTATTTTCCAAGAGGCTAACTAATAGGTTAAAATCTTAGTTGTACATGTTGGAATCAAGAAAAGTCAAATTTCTTTGCAGAGTTGCATATTCTGCTTCTATCTGTGGTGATGTGAAATCTTTTAGCCTGAGATGACCCATGCTCCCAGACCTATTTAGGAGCCATCACTGATTACATTTTAAAAATTAATTCACAATTCAGATTTTTTTTTTTTTTAAAAAGTACAATTTGGTCTAGGTAGTCCTTATTTATAGTTGAGAAGGTTGGAAGTAACGTCTCCTCCTCAATATACATGTATCATTTGTCAGTGGCTGGAACTACCAAGCCTTTGGTGTCAGAAATCCGTAAAAGCGTCCGAGGAACTCTAGCTAAAGGCAGTGGCGCAACCAGAAGCGATCCACCTAGTTCTCACTCTCAGTTTGGCCTAGAAAGACAAACAGTCATTCAAAAGGTCTCAGACTGGACAAACACAGCAAGCCCTCTGTCAATGAGCACAGTCTGCCTGTCTTGACACTCTGGTCCACAGAACAAGCAGTTGTTTAACTTGTTGAACCACAGGCCAAATCCAACTGAGGCTCTGCTATCTCAAAGGATATCCTGTTCCCTGTGTTCAAAGATCTTTCTCTGTCCCCTGCACCTCCAGCCTGCGTTGTACTGGCTTAGTTATTTCCACCTTCCCCTCTCCCATCTTTTCTATGTCTACTCTTCAGACATGGTAGGGGTAAACTCACCTTTTCTCAGAGGATTTTATTTATTTTCAATTCTTTCTAACCAAATGGCATCGTTTCCCCAAGGTAATAAGCTCCTTCCAGCACAGATCAGGAAAGAAAGGAAACCCAACTTTGCATTCCTACAGAAAGGCAGCATGCTGGGTGTCCTCGCTCTGAAATCTCCTCATGGCAGGATATCTGGCACCGACAAATCCTGGTTGGTTGGCAATAATAGAATTTACTTTTTTGCTTCTGAGGGAAATGGGTGTGAGGTTCCCAAGAGACCTCTGTCCACCCACTTCTGCCCCAGCCCAACTTTTAATAGGTCTGGGTCACTTCTGCCCCCAGGTCTTAGCCCTTTGTGCATTACAAGCGGTGCTGTAGGCATGCAAATAAGTGTCGCAGAGGTTGGATGAGGGCGAGCAACAGAGACCTTTAAGGAGCTTGTAGCAACTCAGTTGCCTGGCCTGTGCTGAGAAGCAGGATACACGTCTTTTGTTTCTAATTCTGACACCACTTAGCAAGCCAGCTATCTCACTCAGTTAGCAGGAGTGATAAAATTTTGGAGCCCCCACACTCAGATCCCTAGACCCAAGATCCCCAGGATACAGGATACTGGAACAGGGCGCTGTTTTCCCCTCAGATGCATGCTCCTGACGCGGTCTTCCTACATCAGCTGGCCAGATATGGAGTAAGTTGGGAGCACCTCCGCGGTCACACTGGTATTTGCCTTCTACCCTAAACCTTGAAAATAGAAAAGGGACCCTTAGTGGGGGACAGTCCCGGAGGAGAACCAAGGAAGTGTGGCGACACAAAAGAGACTGTATTTAGGGCGGCAATAGCTACATGTTGTGGGGTCGACCTAGTTGGCAAAGGCCTGCCCAAGGTCAGAGGTCAACCACAGCTACAGATTTCAGTTCCTGGGCCGCTGAACACTGATTTACGCATAGGCTAGCCTTTGCGGCCGCGCTTGCCTCTTCGGCAGGGCTGACCCTAGCGGGCAATGAGCAAAAACTCTAGAGGCGGGTTGAGAAATACAGAGCCACAGAGCAGACCTAAGCCTGGCCTCTGCTGCCTGCCTTCACCAGCTGCACCCAGCACCTCACAGGCTACCCTCGGGGGTCCTGAAGCTGCAGGAAGTTGATTTGAGACACTGGTTTTTGCGAAGAACTGTTCTCATTCTCTTGTTGTCTAGAAGGAAAAGCTCAAGTTTCCATCAGCCTGGTGCTGAAGGGGCAACTTCTAGGTGTCCAGAGAAAAGTTTCTATCAGTGGGTCACCTCTAGTTTTTCAAAATGCAGGCACCTGAGATAGAAAAAGGGAAACCGGTTCGGCAGGCAGCAGCGAGGTCGCTACTGGGCCAATGCTGTCGGAAAGGTAGGAGAAATATGACTTGGAAATCCAAAGGGAGTTTCCTGCAGGCAATTCTTGTGGTGGAGACTTCTCCTTCCAATGACTCCTTCCCATTTCTAAGAGGATGATGACTCCCGACTGTCCCTGTGGGCCATTCCTCAACCCCAAACTTTTAAGCTCAGCTTTTGAAGGAGTGCTGACTCTACCGTTCACAGTCTTTCTACTCCCTCTTTACTTGCCCTTAATTTCCAGGAACTCTGAGTCTAGGGTGGCAGTCAGAATCCTAGAGGCTGCGGCCTGCTCCCCAGAGAACTGGCTACTGCTCTCATTTGCATTGGAGCGAAAGAAAGCTGAGGCCAGAAGCCACAGTCCGCAGCTCGGTGACAGCGAAACCCAGCGGGCAGCTCAGGACCAGAGTGAGCCAGGGCACCCAGCCGGCCGTGGCCGGAGCAGTCCATATCCTCAAGCCAGGATAAAAAGTTCCCTAGCGGTGTTGCCAGCCACTCAAACTTGGCTTTTTCACCCTACAGAGCCAGCCCAGACTACCTGGAATCCCTGTAGAGGCTTGGCAGAGAAACTGCCTGTAAGGACCAACTCACCCCCACTTTCACTGCACTGACACTGATCTCTGCAAGAAAGGGCCACTTGTGTCGTTCTTATGCCCACAGTGGGGCACCCAGGCAATTTACAAGGGAGGGGGGCAAGACAGACAGGCAACAACTGCTCTTGGTGGCTGTGTCAGTAGGAGCTCTATTGGTCCTTTCTGTGCCCCCTCCTCCTTAGAGGAAGGGATGGACTCATCCTCCACACTGCCCCCTCTGTAGAGGGGCCCCCTCCTCCCCTTAGAGTCAGTGAGGTGGGGCCTGGCTCAGAGGTTGGGGGGCCAATGAAGGAGGAGACTGGGGAGGTCTGCCTGGGCCTCTTCCCCCAGAGGAGTTTGGGTGCCAAAGGCCCCCATAAGAACATTGCTATGCTGTAGGGGTTCGGTCTCCTCCTTGCCCCCTGAACTTCAGCACTTACCCTGCTCCACCTGTTGCCAGGATCACCTCATTTCTGCACATCACTTCGGGGTGGCTGAGGGGGTACCACAAACCCCTCTAAGCCTTCCTTTTGTGGTTCCATCGAGGCGGTCATCCTTCATGTCTCCGTTTCCAGCTTTCGGGAAGCAGTTAGGGAATGTATGATGAAGCAGAAATGAGCCGTCAGGATGATATTTTAATGGCTTATATGTCACGTTGGTGCATGTGGCTTTGAACTGGAGCCGCTTGCGTTTCCTGCAGAGAGCGCCGCAAATCCCACTTGATAACTTCTACAACCCACAACTTTTTTTTTTTTTTTTCTCACATTCACTCTTACCCTGTATATTTGGATGGGTTTCCTAAAAATACCCTCTTGTCAATGTCCTTGTTGGATTTTCCACAGACTGGAGCAGAGAAGACTGATTTTTTCTGTTTTGAAGAATTATTTCCCTCCCCCTCCCAATGGCTACCCTTCCCCCTCAAGGTCCCCTCCCTTGTTTTTTTTTTTTTTTCCCCTCTTTTTTTTTTTTTTTTTTTCTTTTTGAAAGGCAGGCGAGGTGGGTTCAATATTTGTCCTCCCTGGTGACAGCAGTAGTGCAACCCCTAGAGAAAACTTCTCTTTGCATATAAGGTTTTACGATTCTAGTGCTCAACTTCCCATGTAGGTACCAGAAATGATCGAGTGACTCTAATATTTCTTTTTAAAAAAATAAACAAAATATATGCTATTAAAAAAAAACATACTCAAATCCCTTTCTCCACTCCTCACTGAGTTCCATTCAAACTTAGTAGAAAATGCTGGGCTGCTGGCCTCAGACTTGTTGCTGGAGACAGAACATTTATAATATTTTTGCTTCTTTCTGGAATTCTTATTCCCTGCCACAAATGTTTGACCAGGTCCTTCCAGACGCAAGGAAAACATCCCAGATACAGAACTCGGCTTTTTGAGCAGGAGAGAGTACAGAGAAAGGCCAGCCTTGCGTGATATTCCCAAAGCAGAAGCTAGTCCTGGAGAAGACCAGGACAGCAGAAGGCAAGGAGTGGTCACAGTGCGCCCTGCCTTCCTCTAAATCCGAAAAGCCGGAGCTGGCGACTGGGAAAAAAATTCATTTTCATTTCGCTCTCGCCGGGGCACTGGTGAGTTTCTTAACCCAGCCGCCTGTGAAAGGATGAGTTGAGGTTTCTTTGTCTGGAAGGAGAGTTTAGGGCTCTGATTCAGCTGCAAAGAAGCCAAATGAAGTTAGAAACAAAGGGCAAATTGAAGGATTCCGACTCTTGGCTTTTTGTGTTTTCCTTACTAGAAAATAATTAGACCTAATGAATATGCAGACACTTTGGCTAAACCCGGGCCGAGCTGTGGGCTTTAAACAGAGCTGAGGAGAAATGCAACCTTCATCCCCACCCCACCCCCCGCATCTCTGCATTTTTTGAAATGCATAAATGTTGCTCGGTTTAATTGATTGAGTCACAGAGATTTTTTTTCCTGCTTTTAAGTGCCATACTCCTCTACCTTTCAACAATCATTTTAATATATAGTCAATGGCTCTTTGTGGATGGGACAAAAAGCAACTACGCGCAGTTGTTGAATAGACTTTGCGCTGGGCAAAGACAGGTTAATCGAGGGCCGCATCGCGAAAACAAGCGAGTGTTGTATGTTTGCACTGAATCCAAATGTCTGCATTTTCCTAACTAAATCAAAGGGAGTGTTATTTCTTTTTCTGCTCACTCATCTGAAGGTAAGTAAATTTTCTCTGGCGATCAAAAGCCCGGTCGGCAACAAAGACCGCGCCCGCTTTTTCCACCGTCCTGGTGTGGCGAGTTGCGGAATTTCAATAACTGTGACAAGGGTGACTGATTTGTGAACTAGAAAAGGTTTGAATGTCACAAAATTTACATTGGTCCTATCTATCGAGGATTTAAATACCAAAAAAGTATTCGAGGGATCTCTAGGGAGCTTTGGGTAGCCCAGAGAAACAATGGCGCGTTGGGAAATTTACAGTTTTACCTGAATGAAAGGGGCCCGGGATGGGAACAGGAGTGCAGAGGGAGGGGGGTTAGTCTGGCAGTTAAGAGAAAGGGGGAGAGTGGGAGACAGAGACGGACAGAGAGAGAGAGAGAGAGAGAGAGAGAGAGCTTGGGAGAGAGATTTCCCTTAAAAAAGAAAAAGGCCAAATCAACAAACCACAATAACCCAGAGAGTTAAGAACTCTCTAGCCCACCTGTGTCGGGGAGCTGGGGGGGGGGTGCTTGCAAAAAGCCTGACTGTTTGATAAAAGTAAGAGACATTGAGGCTACCGGTTACATGAGAGATAATATTTCTAGTTAGGAGAGTAGAGTTCTCCAGTGTTCCCGAGATCTTAAATTATAAACAGGAAAAGGACCAGGCAAGAAGGAACCTGACTTCAAAAGTAGCGAATAACAAAAGCTTCCTTGGCTGCCCTTGAAGGGGGAAAAGGGAAAAAGAAAGAAAAGAAAGTTGCTGAATCGGGACATTCTGGAAGTGCCTTTGCTGTGTTTACCAGCCCGGTCCACGCCTCCAGCATTCAGAGAAGCCTGAAGTCTCTACTCTCTAATCGTTCGGCGGTTGGGAAGGGCCAGGGGGGTTGGAGAAAGAGGAAGAGAGAGAGAGAGACAGAGAGAGAGAGAGAGAGAGAGAGAGAGAGAGAGAGAGAGAGAGAGAGAGAGAGACAGGAGAGAGAGAGAAAGACAGAGAGAGAGAGAGAGAGAGAGAGAGAGAGAGAGAGAGAGAGAGAGAAGGGAGAGGGAAAAAGAAAACGGAGAGGGAAAAAAGAGAGGAGAGAGGAGAGAAAAGAGAAGAGAAAGAAGAGAGAAGAGAGGAGGGAAGCGGAGACGGAGAGAAAGAGGGAAAGGGAAAAGAGGGAGAAAAAGAGATGACTATGAGAAGGAAAAAGAATCTTGGCTAAAAAAAAAAATTGCGTGAGAAGAGGGCAAAAAATTTGGCTAAAAAAAAAAAAAAAAGTTGCTACTCCTGGCAGCTCTGTTTGTCAAAAGGGGATGTCAAGCGCTTTACAATACCTGGGATTGATGAGGCGGGCGGGCCAATGAGCTGCGCGCGGCGCCTCGGCGCGCCCTCCGTTGGCGCGGCGACTGCGGGCGGGGGGAGCGAGGGCGCACCAATCAGCGCCTGCGTCGACAGCACGTGACGCCTCCCCCTGCTCCCATTCATCAAGGGGGGGACGGTGTCGTCCTTTCAATTCATTTATCTGCAGGAATGATTGCTGCTATCAGTCTCGCGCTCACCGCCCGGCTGAGGAGGTGAAAGTTTCTCCCCAGGAAGATAAACCGCAAAAGACAATATTGTGCATGATTTGCGCCTTTTCTTTGCCTTTTTCTCCCCCCACCCTTTTTTTGCAAAAAGCTGAGAAGGAAAAAAGGAGAGTGAAAGAGCGAAGAGGCGAGCCTGAGCGAAAGCAGAGAGAGAGAGAGAGAGAGAGAGAGAGAGAGAGAGAGAGAGAGAGAGAAGAGAGGGAAGAAAGGACGAGGGGTAGTGGAGAAGTGAGGAGGGGCGCGCGGCGCGCGGCGGAGAGCGGGCTCGGGCAGTCGTGGCCGGCGCTCGCATTCCTCTATGCCACAAATCCGGGAGGAAGTTTTTTGGGGGGGCTGAGATGTTGCATGCTTTTCCCCGGGCAGCCTTGACGCGAGGCCCTCTCGGCAGAGACTGAGCGGCGAGAAAGTGCGAGCCGGGGCGGCGGGGTTTGCGCGGCGGGCGCCGGAGCCCGCCCGACTCGCTGCTCGCCGCCGTCCGGCTTCCCGGAGCTCGGCCGGGAGGGCGCCCGGACGCGCCGCGCCGCTGCCTGCAGGCTGAGACTTCACTAGGTGGGTCGGCTCCCCCTCCCTCCTCCTCTTCTTCCTCCTCTTCCTCCGCCTCTGTTCCTCCTCCTCCTCCTCCCGATTTTCCCTCCTCGGCTGGCGAGGGTGGGGGGGGCGGGGGAGGACAGGGCTTGCCCGGAGCAGCCACGATGCTCCTGGACGCCGGCCCCCAGTATCCCGCGATCGGTGTGACCACCTTTGGCGCGTCCCGCCACCACTCGGCGGGCGACGTGGCCGAGCGAGACGTGGGCCTGGGCATCAACCCGTTCGCCGACGGCATGGGCGCCTTCAAGCTGAACCCCAGCTCGCACGAGCTGGCCTCGGCCGGACAGACGGCCTTCACGTCGCAGGCGCCCGGCTACGCGGCTGCTGCGGCCCTCGGCCATCACCACCACCCGGGCCACGTCGGCTCCTATTCCAGCGCAGCTTTCAATTCAACGCGGGACTTTCTGTTCCGCAACCGGGGCTTCGGCGACGCGGCCGCGGCGGCCAGCGCACAGCACAGCCTCTTCGCTGCTTCTGCCGGCGGCTTTGGGGGCCCACACGGCCATACGGACGCCGCGGGCCACCTCCTTTTTCCCGGGCTTCACGAGCAGGCGGCGGGCCACGCGTCACCCAACGTGGTCAACGGGCAGATGCGGCTTGGTTTCTCGGGGGACATGTACCCGCGGCCGGAGCAGTACGGCCAGGTGACCAGCCCGCGCTCCGAGCACTATGCAGCGCCGCAGCTGCACGGCTACGGGCCCATGAACGTGAACATGGCCGCGCACCACGGCGCCGGCGCTTTCTTCCGCTACATGCGCCAACCCATCAAGCAAGAGCTCATCTGTAAGTGGATCGAGCCGGAGCAGCTGGCCAACCCCAAAAAGTCGTGCAACAAAACTTTCAGCACCATGCATGAGCTGGTCACGCACGTCACTGTGGAGCACGTCGGCGGCCCGGAGCAGAGTAACCACATCTGCTTCTGGGAGGAGTGTCCACGCGAGGGCAAGCCCTTCAAAGCCAAATACAAACTGGTCAACCACATCCGTGTGCACACGGGCGAAAAACCTTTCCCCTGCCCCTTCCCTGGCTGCGGCAAGGTCTTCGCGCGCTCGGAGAATCTAAAGATCCACAAAAGGACGCACACAGGTACGGAAACTGCTGTAAAACACCCTTCCCCATCCTGGGCTTGAGACCCGAAATCAGCGGCTGGGACCCACAAACCCAACCTCAGTAGGGTCTGAGGGTCAGATCCGGCAGACAGGCAGAGGAAGTGTGTGCTGATTTTAGTTCCGGGGCTTGAAATTTTTGAAAAACAGGGCAGCGAACTTGAAGGATCGGGGTTATAGATTTTTAAAATGAGACATAAAAGGACTCTGTAGAACAGGAAAGCAGGCTAAGCTTGGCAGAGCTCTTTACACACTGGAAGCTGGGCGAGGTGGCAGGCTCTCGGCCCTGCGGAGGCTTCAGCCACTCCAGCTGCAGACAAACTAAACGCTTGTGTGTGGTCAGCACCGTTCTCCACGACTCTTAGGACTGTTGAAAGAAAGGGTGAAAGAAGTTGAGGAGATAGGGTTAAAGGGACACAGAAAAGTATAAAACAGAAAAAGACCAAAAGAAAAGGGGTGGGGTGATGGAAAGAAGTCCAGTAATTTGGAACTGAGGGAGTTTTTATAGGTTTCTGTATGTATGAAAAACCCCAATTTTAAGTGGTGTTGAGACAGGGCTTGAAGGATGAGAAGTCCTTTTTGTCATGTAGAGTGCATGGGGGATGTTTTTAAAACACTGGGTACCCGCCTTGGCCTTTCAAAATAAAGCAGGTGGAGAGCTGTTTAAAAAAAACAAAACAAACAAACAAAAAAAAGATCATGGTAACTTGGAGCTACAGCCTAGGATGAGCAAAACCTTCAGGCCCCTTGCACCGAAGAGGTGGGGAAAACGGCCTCCTTCTCTGTTTGGGTCTGTATGAGTGAGGTCCTAGAATGGGGCATTTGGAACTTTCTCTTCAAAGTCTGAGTCAGGAATTTGTGGCGCCTAAAGTGTGAATGTTTGTAGGGGGTCGAGTGGGGGAGGTGTGGAGGGGGTGCAGAGCTTCAGGGAGGAGGTGAGGGGAGGAGAGAAGAGCAGCTCCGCAGAAGAATCCAGCCTGAAATAAAACTAGAAACCAGGAGCTAGTTAGAAGCCACCCTAGAAGTCCTGTGTATAGTTTAGCCCTGGGCAGGAAAATCAGCATCTAGACCTGCTACCATCCTGGAAGGTAAAAATCTACCACTACTTCAATTATTGTCACCGATTCAACCTAAAAAATACAATGTAGGTATGATAGTATTAGAAATTGCTTAGATATTTGTGTCTCACTGCAGGTGAATATATGGAAGCCTCAGTCTTATAACCTTGCAAAATGCTAATTCCTAGCTACTGCCTTTTTGTTATGCATTATGCATTATTATTAGTATTATTATTTTCCCGTTTAAGCTTTAGAAAACGGCCCGGTGGTTTGTTTTAATAAACCCCTCTCTTTCTCGCCTTTCGCACTAGGGGAGAAGCCCTTCAAGTGCGAGTTCGAGGGCTGCGACCGGCGCTTTGCTAACAGCAGCGACCGCAAGAAGCACATGCACGTGCACACGAGTGACAAACCCTATCTCTGCAAGATGTGCGACAAGTCCTACACGCACCCCAGCTCCCTGCGCAAACACATGAAGGTAATCACCGCGCTCTCGCCGCCGGCCTACCGGGCGGAAGCCCTCTGTGCGCTCGGGCCGGGATCAGGTGGCCAAGGGCACCTGGGCGGCAGCAGGAGTTAGAGGAGGCTGGAAAGCCCAGCTCCACGCCGCTGATGGGGCTGGGCAGGGACTGGAAAAGGCCTTGGGTGCTTTTCAATTCACTGTTTCATAAAACGAATAAAAAGAAGGGAGCGCTCAGCAGAGACCGAAGATGAATTTGGCTCAGAGCTGGGGAGCCTGGGCTGCAAGCGCGCTGGGGCGCAGCAGTGGCTGCCGCCATTACGCCTGGCAGCTCGGAGTCCAGGAGTTGGGGTCTTGCGCCCACACTGAGCACTTGCTCCCGTAAAGCTGGGCGAGCGAAGTTGAGGGGGCGAACCATGCCAGGCTCTGGCCTCCTTCCTCCCAAGCCTTTTTGCTTTTGCGCGCGCCAGCGACGCTGTCCTTCCCCGGAGCGCAGCCAGTGCAGCAGGGCCTGGAGGGGGAACCAGACGCGGCTCCGGCGCGGGGAGGGGACGGGGACCGGGTCCTGGAGGAGGGGGAGGGCCTCCGAGCCGGCTCTTTATCTCCGTAAAAACGCAACTTTATTCCCACAGGTCCACGAATCCTCCTCGCAGGGCTCGCAGCCTTCGCCTGCCGCCAGCTCGGGCTATGAGTCCTCCACGCCGCCCACCATCGTGTCTCCCTCCACAGACAACCCGGCCACCAGCTCCCTGTCGCCCTCCTCCTCCGCAGTGCACCACACAGCCGGCCACAGCGCGCTCTCCTCCAATTTTAACGAATGGTACGTTTAAAATCAGAAACAAAACACCGAACAAAACACTATTTAAGAGACTGAGCACACGCGTAGATACATTATTGAAAGAGCCCTGCGAAGCAGAGCAGCACCCCCGACACACAGACCCGCGATCCCATTTTGTTTTAATAGACCCAGGACCGAGTAAGAGAGGAAGCATCAAACCTTCTTAAAATGTATCACTTTTTTGCATTATTATTTTTTCTTTTCTTTTTTTTTGGCAAAGGCTTGGCAGCCGAGGTGCGGGAGGGGGGTCGGGAAGGAAGAGGCCGCCTGACCAAATGCCGCCAGCCCCCAGGGCCAATTTCTTGTTAGATTGGAACAGGCTTTCTGGGGACTCGGCTTTTTTTTTTTTTTTTTTTTTTTATTTGCTTTCTTGTAAATACAGAATTATTAGCTTAAAACTGTTCTGTTGGATTCTGTAAATAGTTCTCTCTCGGTTGGAGCGGGTGGGTGGGATTGTGGCGTTATGGTCTTTGCATTGGGGAGGGGGAGGGGAGGGGTGGGGGAGGGCGGGGGAGGGGTGGGCGGCCCAAAGCCAACTGTTTGTACTGAATGGCAAGAATGTTCTAGTAAATGTGTACCAAAATGTGAATTACTTTGTACGATTACAGTCTCCACGTCGACCTAACAGAATATTATTGGTATTAATGTGCTTTTTTTGTATAAAGTGCAAACATTTCGTCCCAAAGTCTAAGTACTTTAGTGCAGTAAAATGTTGTTTCATGTCCTGTCAAGAATTCGTATAGCCTGGATCTGCGTGTCAAACTGTTCCATTTGTTTATGTAAAGTGATATTAAAAAGATATAAACTATAACTGTCCGTTGCTTTTGGCAAAAGATACCACATATGTATATAATTCCTAGTTTCCATATTTATCCGCATGTAAAGGGCCGGTTTATCCATGTTACAGCTATTCAGTATTTATGGCTAGAAAAACTCGTATGTACACTTTAGTTTCCAGAACTGTTTGGTAACCTTTCGTACATTATTAAAGATTCTTAAATCTAAGCGATTGTGGTAGGAATTTCTTCTTCACGCTCCCTCACCCCTCAGCAACCTGCTGCCTCTTCTGCCACTCTTAGGGTTCTTTAGAAAAGCTCTCCAGTCTCTCTTCCTTCCCTTTCTGTCACTGTAGGTCATATAAATTTGATAAATGAACGCTACCCTGCTGGTTCTCCGAGAGGGTGTAATTAGTATTTATATCAAAATTTATGAAACAAATTTTCGGCCGCAGTATAATTTAAATGACCTTTGCAGACGTAGAATAACAACCATAAAAATAACAGAAATAGATTGCACAGGCAACATCAATATTAATGTAGGGGAATTGTTGGAAGCTCTGGGGCTCGTTCTGCAATGTTGCAAAAGAACTTGTAGCCATGGGCTCTGCTGTCCCCCAAATTCAGCTCCTGAGTCTGAAACTGGTTTGCAAATTTACAATTTTAAATTGCTGTCTTCAATTAAACCATTTATGTCTATAACTGATTTTCAGGAAGTCCATGCATCCTATTCTGGGCCTTCATATATATATATATATATATATATATATATATATATATATATATGTAAATTTCCATAAAGCGTTTCACTTATGTTTTTTCAAACATGATGCTAATTTAAATTAATTACTTCCTGTGATATGTTATTATTCCTATAATTTTGCTACTGTTATTAGTTCTTTCAAAAATACATCTAGAGAAGAGAACTATTTTATGTAATTTGATTATCTTTCTATCTCTTTTATTTATTTCTCATTTACTTAAGAAATTCGTTCCATTGGCTGGCGTTGATACAGTAAATTTGTAAATGAGGAGACAATATAAAAAATCTAAATTACTTGTGCTTAATGACTGTAGCAGAACGCCTTTTCTCTAAATCAGATTGTCTTTCTTGCAGTTTAGTTTGATAGATTTGCAAGCTATGCTGCTTCCATGAAGTTAGCTTTGCTGGGACGCAGGCTTCTTTGTCTCTGGTTGTAGCTTGCATGATCGCCCCATTAGGCAGACAACCTAGCTGGAGATCACAAATCAGGCCCTTGGCTATGGCTGCAAGGGAGTGAATGTGTTCAAAGCCCTCTGTAGAAGCTGACCTCACTGTAGGCCAGGATGAACATGAATCTGATACTTGTAGTATACAGTGTGTGCTTAGAAAGTCATAAGGCAAAATATGAGAGCCCCTTAAGAACCTTGCATCTGTTTTAAAGTGATTCTAAATTTTCAGATTATACAATTGACCAGTTACCAAATAGAAAAAAAGTTACATTATCTTTAAAAATACTTACTGATTTGTTCCTTTCACCTCTTGATATTTGTATTTATCATGCTTAGTCTGCAAAATCTTATTTGATAAGGAAGAGTCTTGCTGTATTTCTGATAGTTCATTAAAAGCTGATGATAGTGTTTAACTTAAAAAATTATTGTCATTATTAATGTAATATTGGTCTTTTTATGAAAAGAGCACCACCTTTCAAAATTTGGTGAGACTTAAGAAAATTGAATTGCCTAAGCAAGAGTTACTGGTAGGTCCTAAAATTTTTGAGACCAGAGCTTAGCCCCATACAACTTTGGAGTTTAGAAATTGATTAACAGGGTAGTATTTGAAGCGACTCCTGACATTAAGTCCAATAGTTAAAAACAGAAGACTAAAAACATCTCTATTTGAAGGATAACGGCTCAACAATAGTCTTCTCCCTTTTCATTTGAGAGAAGGTTGTCTGGGAACTTGGAAAATGTATAATGATAATCATAACACTGTGTGTAATATTTGCAGTGCACTTAAGAAAGTAGAAAATAGTAAGTTTATTTTTGCTTTGACCATTCCTAAATACACTTTCCTTCAAATTTGAAGGTATAAATTAGAAAGTATAAATTTGAAAGTATAAATATACAAATCTGAAATGTGTCATTGTTTGTTACATACCTAATGCCTCTTTTATATTAATATCATGATGTAATAATTCAATATCACACTATGTATGACGTATGGTTTATGTAGACTATTTTAAAGATACATTTTGAGGGAAATGTATATTTTAATACTACTTCATTTTTCAAATCTTTATTTGAAGGTTAAGTAATTGGAGGAGTCCTCTCTGTGTCTATATGAATACTGTCACACCAAAAGAACTTTTTAAGTAGAAGCCAACATTTCTGCCCAGCTCCTTTCTGAATTCTCTTTTTCAATACCCTCCATAAAGAAAAAGTCATTAATGATGTAAGCCACCTAAAATAATACTCGAAACTTAAATGTAGTCTATTGTTTTGCTGGTACCTTTAATGTCTGCTTCTTGAGATGTATTCTTCATATTTTTCTTCATGGACTATTAGGTTTTGAAATACATGAATGTGAATAGCAAAATATATTGTTAGACTCTATTTAGCAGGAGCAGAATATGCTGCAAATGGCTGGTATCTGTGTGTAGCTGTGGATTTTGACTTAGGCATAAGGCCATAGTAGTTCATGTTGTGACTACATTATATTCTGGATACTATCAAATGATTAGAACAGGTAACAAATTATTAAAATGGTATTTTGTGTCAACAAAAATGCCTGAGTACAAGCAATAATAATATTTGAGAAATGAAAAGAAATGAGTTGTGGTATGTGTGTGTACATTTGTAGAGGAAGCATATAAATACACAAGCACCATTTATATGGGGCTAAGTAATTTTCAAACATTTCAGATCCTTTGTTTTCTTCTTCAAAAGCTACCCCCAACTGCTTTAAGCATTTGCAGCTGATGATTTTGATTTTTTAAAGTCAAGCATTCAAGTTAACCTTTAAGAAGCAAACCACCTCCAAAAGAAAGATGTAACCTTTCAACTGGCCCATCTGCTTATCTATTTTTTTCTTTATTTTCTTTTAAAAAAAATTTTGGCTTTAACTGACAATAAAAACAACATTAACCTTCTTTTCTGATGGGCTTGGCATTTAGATTATTTGTTGATTGTGAAGTTTTCTGAGAAGTTCTGAGGGTTGGCAGCAGTACACCACCCAAACACATCCCTCACCCCCAACCTTCCAGAAGTTCCCTTTTTGAAGCCAAGGTGTAATCACTATCTTGGCACCTTTGTGATTCATATTGGTGGAGTTAGTACCTAAACACACTGCTTTCCAGGAAGTGACTTGGAGGAAGTTCTAGGTCCTAAGGATTAGATTCAGTTGAGATATTTTCAGGAGTAGCTGCATTCTGCCACACTCATACTGAAGGCTTGAGCTTGTTCCCTTAATACTTTGTGAACTATATATGAAGACAGATATTATACACTCCCAATGTATATTTCTTTCATTTCTCCAACTTGAAGTACTAATTCTGTTCCTTTCTAGATAGAGTTCTCACCTCCTAGTATTAAATGTAGTTCTTTTATGTTCATCTTACTGGAAATAGTGTTGTTTGACTAAAGGTCACGGTTGATATCCTGTTTGGTTTTAAAATTCTTGAAAATAGGGTTGCAGTGGAGAGATTTCTGCCATCTATAGGAGGAGAGCCACGAAAGCCTTGATTTACTCATAGGACTTTGAGTTTTTTTTTTTTTTTTTAACCATTTCACTTACTGTCTGTAATACATTAATATAAAATATTCTGTATATTTATATATCCCTAAAAGTGGTTAGATATAGAAAGTTAAGCTTTGTATAGGATCACGATGCAGCAATCTTTTTTATTTTATTTTATTTTATTTATTTATTTATTTATTTTATTTTTTTTTTTTTGAATGCTAACCATTAGTCTGGGGCAAGAAATTTTAAAAAATGTTAATACTTTCGAACATGCCACATTCCAGCCTCTTTCTCAGAGTTTTACCCCACACAGTGTAATGTGCACAGAGTGTGAACAATGCTCTCTAATCTATGCGCGGGTGGTGGGCTCCAGACTCTCTCAGAGCACTAGGAGATTCGTCAGGCCAGACTTGGGGGCTACTTTTACTCTGCAAGCTGGAATCTATCATCAGTTTCTAAGGTCCATTTCCATTTTACAGTGACAAGCTAAAACGGTATGAGGTTTCCAACTGATGCTATGCTGGAAGTGAGCTTTTCAAGGCTGAGAAATCAGATTTCTTTAGTTGTGGGCAGCTCTGTAAGCATATGCAGGAGAATACACAGGTGGTGGAAGTCACACAGTGATATTTCCACCTACAGCACATCAACCACTGAGCGCAGCTACGCTCTACGCGTCTGTAACATTATCTTTAATAACCATCACTATTGCTTTGAAGACTTAAGACTTAAGCAAACAAAAATGTTATTTCACCCCTATCTTTTCTGTAACACTTCTCAGCTAGCTACAGAAAGCAGGAGCAGAAATGGATGCAGGAAGCTCATACTGTGTTGCAAGTCTTCACATTTTTTCTTTGCATCCGGGAAAATCCTACCCTCTGGCAAAGAAATCCGAAGTTAGGAAGGAAGAGAAAACCAGGCAAAAGCGTAGGGGTGAGCTGGGGCGTGCTTAAAGAGAAATTTTAGCCCTGGAGGCTCTCTTAAAAGTACGGAAATGCAGCCCTCAGGCTAGGTGTGGATGTGGAGAGGAACAGAGCCCAACGCCCTCGCAGAGCCTCCGCAGAAGCCCAGGCCGCCGGCGTCCAAGCGGCGCCGCGCACCACCCCGCAGCCGGCGCGGTGCTTCGGGGTCGCGGCTGCTGGCTGGAGCCCGGGCCGCGCCGGACGCGCAGTGCGCATGCGCGCCCCGCGGCCGGGGTTCCACGTGCTGATGCATATGCATGACGCGCCCCCGCCCGGAGCCGGCAGCGGAGGGAACCTCGCGGAGGCCTCGGCCTGAGAAAGTATCTGGCCCGACTCCCAAAATGTGTGGCAGGGAAGCTTCACGTGTTTGTTTTCAAACCGCGCCGGTTTAAGTGAGTTCACAATGCCAGCAGTCTCAAGCAACCTGCGGCCGCGGCCGCCACCGTAACTGCGAGGCGATCTGCCTGCGGGATCTTCCCTTCCCTGCACGTCTGGGGGTGCGGGGTCCTGGTGATCCGAGAGGCTAGGGTCCTGGTTTACACCCTCCAG